GGGTTGTTCTGAAACTGTGGGAACAGCCCCACATATCTGAAAAATACCCTAACATGCAGAAATTGCCCTTGAGAGCTCAGGATTTCCCTATGTATCCCAGGAAACTGTAGAACCAGGAACCAGACATGATGGAAACAGGCCCACAGAGTAGGGTTTAATATGTTAAAGGAAAAAAATTTCCTTAAAATAATTTCCACTTCCAAAAAGGCATGAAGAGGTAACTGGAACTGAGGGTTTATCTCCTAAGCTTCTTCCTCATCTTACTGGCATGAGTGTGGTTCATATCAGAACTCTCCCATCATCTAATAGTGGGATATTGGTAGTGGGTGTGGGGTTTTGGCGGGCACTTCTGTTCTTTAGATGATGTGAGTAAAGCCTTCAGAGATGGATTCTTCAAGAACCTGGTCTCTTCCTGTCCGTGCCCAGGGCGAGCCGACGCTGCACTCTGCAGCAGGTGGCACTGTTGGCTGTGTTCAGAGGTGAGCTTTCCTTGAAGAGTGACATCCCTGGTCCTCTCTTGGTTGCCAGTGGTCACTTCGGCTCCAGTGCATCCTGACAGTTCTTTCTATTTCCAGAGACATAAATTGGATTGTGCTCTTGTTGACTGCTAATGGGAAAGCATCTTAACATCTAAAAATTAAAGCATCTTTTATGTGACAGACACAGCAACCTGAATCAGAGAATCACAGAATGGTTTGTGTTGGAAGGGACTTTAAAGAGTTTATAGTTCTGACTCCCTGTCAGGGAATGTCTGTGTAAGACTGTTAAGAAAATGCTAAGTTAGGAAAATCCTCCAGGTTATGCTTAACTCTAGAACAGTTAAACTGGCAAGTTTTCAGGTAGAATCAACAATGGACTTAATAGTTTAAAATGAAAATTTAATATCTGGGAGGTGAGTATTTATTTTTATCTTTGCATGTTTAGATTGAGAGCAGAGTAAATGTAGGTAGCTAGGTAGATAGATAATGACATCACATCAAGTCCCCAGGTGATGTACTTCTGAATACCAGCCAGCCATGATGGTACTTAAGAGAATTTCATCACTTTCACAGGTACTGTCTTTCTGAATTTTCATTTAGGCCTCAGTACTTAATATTTCTCTGGAAATAGACTTGGGTCTGTCTTTGAAAGAAAATTATGTCTGGATACATTTGTTTATTGCAGAGAAAAAGAGGCAAGACTATAGTGTAATTATACCAAACCAGAAGTCCCCTTAAGAAATGTGGTAGCTTGGATGTCAAAACTGTATATATGTAGAGAGAACTGTGATTTGGGGAAGGAAAGCAGAAGTAAAGGATGGGTGGTAGGTTGTAGTCAGTGTATTGGAAAGTAATGGAAGAATTAATGACAACAACAACAAAAAGTCTGAAGGAAACTTGCAGGGCCTTTGGCTTTAGTTATTAAGCTCCTTCAGCAAATCAGTTACTTGAATAATGGAGTTGTTATTAAAAAGATGAATCCACTTTGTTGGCACATGGCAGCAAAAGAGGGTTTATAACTTCCCTATTTGAAATTACCTTACAAAGTTATTTGGATAAGCTTTTGACATTAATGTACTTTTCCTGATAGAAAAAGTGCTTAAATCTATTAAAAACTGTATTTTTATTGCCCTACTTATTTTGGAAAGAATAGTGACTGATTTTTGTTGCTTTCAGTGGTGTCCTTATTATCCTCTGAGTTGTGGCACCACTGACACTGCGCTGCTTATTTCATGGCAAGGCACTTTTCCAGTCACTGCACAAGATGCTGCAGCTGCAGACAGCCTGAACCCCTCTTCTGCCTTGCCTAGAATTTACAGTGCAAATTTTGGAATGTCAGTTCGTGTATTCAGGTTCTCCTGAATGTAAATTCCCACAGCCACTGAAGCATTCCTTTTGGCTGAAGCACAATTCTTTTTTCTTCTGGTAATTCAGAGAGTCTTAGAATTTTTACCACCATTTTCTTAATTGCATTCCTTCCTTAGCAACGACTGCCCTGGAACAAGAAACCCTTAATGTGTGATAGTGGGGGAGAGGGACAGGGGCAGTGAGGGGACCAAGAAACAGTGACCAGATGTGGGAAGACAGTCCCAGCTCTGAACTGAGGAGGTGATTGGCTGGACCAACTCAAAAATTTCTCAAAACATCTCTGAACATCTCTGTAAGATATTAAACACCTCTAGGCATCTCTAAACTACTGTGTACATCTTATAAATTGCTCCAAAATCCTTTAATCAGCTCTAATGAACTGTAAGGAACTCTGTATTTCTCAAATGAAGCAATTGCCTCAAACCAGATGTAATTTACACAACTCTAAGCCGTCTCTAAACCACTCTAAAACCTTCTAGTCAGCTCTAGACTGACATTAAATTGTATTAAACATCTCTAACACTTTCTTGCCGCCTTTAAAATACCTTTACACTTCCTGAAACAGCTCCAAAGGTCTGAAAATTAGCTCTAAATTCCTCCAGAACTCCTCAGAGGCACACTAAGCAGTTCTGAGGAGCTCTTACATCCCGTCATAGAGTGCTTTAGTCCTCTCAACTTCACTAGCATCTTTCTAAGCCTCTTCTCAGGAGCTTTTTCCTGATTGTATCTAGAACTCCTCTATGTTGATTTGAAGATCTGTGAATTTCCTCTGGGCCTCCTAAACTCCTCTAAGGACCATCTCTAAACCTCCTTGAATATACTGTGAGGTGCTCTAAACCCCTCTAAAATACCACTGCACAGCTACAACACACCTCTGATGAGCTCTGAAAGAGCTTTTATTACACGCAAGTTATACCTTTCAAAATCTGATGCTAAAACACTCCAGAGTGCTAAACCAGTGTGGACTTCTTTAAAGAGCTCCACAATACTCTAGAAAGTTTAAAGAGCTCTAAAATGCACCACACTGCTCTACAACCCATCTCAACAGCTCTAAAACTATTCTAATTGGCTACAAATGACAATGAGAAGTTACACATTTCTCTAAAATTTCCACTGTGAAAATCCTCTAAACAACATAGTACATGTTGCTTAAAGTAGCAGTAAAATGCTTCAAAATAGATGCCAAGCCCTTCTCAGTTTCCTTGCAACTGCTCTAGAACTCTTTTCTGTTCTGGAATTCTTGCTCAGAGACAGTGCTGTAACTCTTCTGAAGCCCTGTAAAACCACTCTGAACTGCTCTAAGTTGATCTAAGCATCCTATAGACTGTTCTAAGCACCCCTAAAGTCCAGCCAGGGCCGGGCAGGGGAGAGGCTGCAGTGCACGCTGAGCGGAACCAAAGAGAGTGAGTTCTCCTGGGAACTCTGCTTTTAACCCCTCTGTGTTCTCAGAGGCGTGAGAATGTGCCAGAACTCTTGTAAAGCACCAAACTCCTTTAGCTCTTCTAAACCTCTTCTCGGCACCTTGGAGCTCCCCTAAACTGATCTAAAGCTGCTCTCTGTTGCTGTAAGCAGCACTAATATGTCTTTAAATGCATCTAAAATGCCTCTAAAATTTTTATTCCTCGAGGTGGCTTGAAAATTCCTCTGAGGAGCTCAAAACAGCTCTAAAACCTTTTTATGCCACTATGGCTCCCACAGGGTTCTAAATAGCTCTAAACCTCTCCAGGCTACTGTAAATCTTCTCTCCTGTGCAGTCACCACCATGAAGTAGCAGTAAAACTGCATTAAAATACTCAGGTCTTGAGGACTTCCTCTAAATAGCTCTATAGAGCACTGGATTGTCTGTGAACTTCCAGAAATACACTGGTGCTTTGGGGAGGTGGAAGAGGTTGCAAGAGCTGGAATTACTGAGTCTAGAGAAAGAGAAATTACCTGTGGGAATGGAAGAGTGTAGAGAAAGGGGATTTCTGGAAGAACAAGAGGACCCTGTAAGAAAAGGGGAGCATATGTGCTTTGTAAGAAGCTTTTAATAAGGCGAAGACCCAGAGAGTGATCTCTGCATGCAAACAGCCCACAGTGAGCATATTTTGAGGTGGAGGAGGAATACCACAGCCCCAAACTCCTGAGGTTATTATGTGAATACATGGAAAATGTGCTCCTGAATCACACAACAGGGGATTGTTCTCTCTGGAGGCACTGGGTGCTCTCAGAACACATTCTAATGGAAGATCTGAAAGTGCACACTGAGGACAATTTAAAAAAATATTTTTTTGGAAGTTTATTGCTATGAATCTGTTCAGGGCAGTACCTTGTCTTAAGGAATGCTAGTAGTCTGCTGGTCAGATCTGCTGGGAGCAGATTTGATTCCTGGCCCAGCTACAATTCTGGTGGGATGGGGAGGATTGTGCTGTGCATGAGTGCCATGGAGCCCACACTCCACAATGGACACATCTCGTAAAACCCCACGCTGGGCTGCATGCAAGGAGCAGAAAGCCTGAGCTCCATTTGCCTTTCTCACACAGGGACATGGATCCATCTGCGTGTCCCAGAGCAGGGACACTGCGCTGTCATTGGAGTGCTTCCAGCACCTCAGCAGGGCTGTCAGGATATTAGGCGAGGCATTTGGAAGAGGTTTCTCCATGTAAGGGTTGGGAGGCCCTGGCACAGGGTGCCCAGAGAAGCTGTGGCTGCCCCATCCCTGGAAGTGTCCAAGGCCAGGTTGGACAGGGCTTGGAGCAAGCTGGGATAGTGGAAAGTGTCCCTGCCCATGGCTGTGGGTGGCACTGGGTGACCTTTTAAGGTCCCTTCCAACCCAAATCATTCCAAGATTTTGCTTGTCTCCATCTTGTTATTTATTAATATTTAAAGGTTCATTTATTTATTTTTATCTGGAAGTTTGCAGATAATTACGGATACCGCAAACCATCCTTATCTCCTGCACATCCCCCGCACGGGGGGTCGCGGCTGCGCTGAGGGGCCATGCGGGGCAGGCAGAGGATGGGCTGGGCGGCGATGGGCTGGACACGGGGACGCTGCCGAGGAGGGCGGGCTGGGCTGGGCTGGGCGAGGACAGGGCGGGCCGAGCGGGGCGGGCTGTGCCCTGGCCGTGCCGTGCCCTGGCCGTGCCGCCGTGCCCGCCCCCGGCCGCTCCGCAGCGCCGCGGCGCTGTCGGCGTTGGCCGGCCGAGGTGAGGGGTCGGCCCGGGGCTCTGCAGGACCTCCCTGCACAGCCGCGGGGGTTGCAGCCTTCTACAGGAGCGCTTCAACAGGAACGGCAATCCCCTTTATACCTTTTTTCCAAACAGCTCGATGGCACCCCGAAAGAAGTTAAAGGGTCTTGTAGCTGCTACCATCACTCCAATGACTCCGGACGGGTGAGCTGTCAAAGTTGCACTGATTATTGTTTCCTTCCACCCCTATTCTCCTTCTTTCTTATTTGGAACTGATCTGCTTGCTTTCTTGCTTTTTTTTTTTTTTTTTTAATCAATCTCTGATGGGATTGGGGGAACTACTAAATTGGTCCCAGAGTGAGATTCCCCTGTCTCTGCTTCCTTCTGTGTTCAGCAAGTACTGTGGCTCTGGGTTTGGAGAGTTTGGATCAGTCTCATATCTCCTTTTCTGTTGCTTTGTAGGTGCAAATTAAATCATAGTACAGTTACATTTGTAGAGCATTGCAGTGTTTTCACATTTGTTAAGGAAAATTACAAAGAGCTCTCGAGAGCTAGAAAATAATTGTCAGAATCCGAAGGCCTTTTAGACTTCTCTCTGTCTTAGCTAAGTCATGCATGCAGTCGTGTGTATGAGTGCATGGAATTAGTCTAAACTTGAAGAAAATACTGCAAGGACAGCACAGTTTTAAAAATAACATCGAATTGAAACTTGAAATTCAGCTTTCTTCAGAGCAGGCATGGCAAACAGAAGCTTCCTCACTGCACTTTGGTGTTGCAAGACCAAGCTGTTTGGAGTCAGTGGGGAAATCTGAGCTCTTGTGGGGGGTGTGTCAGAATCTGTACATGCTTTTGAGAGAGACAGTGGAGATTTGCTAGTACAGATCTCCAAAAGTGAACTTCACTTTAAATGCTGAAAAATAAGGCTCCATCCCAGGCAGGGAACTCATTCTATTGCACTCACTGCTTTGATTGTTGCTTTAAAGGGAACCTGTTTCTGATTTTTTTTTTTTTAATTATGACTCAAATTTTTTGCAACATGGTATTTAGAGAGTGACCTGATCCCTCTGCCTAGACTGCATGGTCCTTGTCAGATGTGTTCTGAGAGGGCATCTGTGGAATTTTGAATGTTGTGTAAAACCTATCAAGGCATTAGAATTGACTTCCAGACCATAGGTTTACTCTGTATTTTTGACAAATGAAAACAACAGTGAAATATTATACACTAGTAAACAAAATAAGTTTGTCTTGCACGGAAGATAACCCAAGAATTCTCTTTCCCCTCTTGCCAGGGAATTCTGATGCTCTCCTCACTCTTTAATCAGAGAGAGAGGTCAAAGTCACATCCAGCAGATGCTGTTTCCCTCTCTGTATCCAGCAGTTATAACCAGCCTGCAGTTTAACCATTTGCCAGCACTTGCACTAATAACTTTTGTGCTCTCAAGAGGATTCCTCAAAAAGAGGAGAAGGTTTTAATGTCTTCTGTTCTCTCACATCTCCCAAAAAAGTTCTTTGCTGTGACAAGCCTGCAGCAATTCCCAATAAAAGTTTGGAACAGCAAACTACTTGTCAGGAGGAAGAGAAACTGCAAGAGAGAATTCAAGGCTGAGGTGCTACCCTCAGAGGTTAAATAGATGTCAAGTGTGTGTGCAAATTCAAGGCTTCAAAATAAATGGGGTTTTTTTGTTTCTTTCTTAATCACTAAGTTTAAAATAACTGTGGGTGGGGACTTAATGGCTGCTGTGGTTCCTTTTATTGCAGAAAAATTAACCTCTCAGTGATTCGTCAGTACGTGGATTATCTGGTAAATGAGCAGAATGTCAAGAACATTTTTGGTAAGTGACAGCAACTGTGTTACAGCCCTTTTACCTGGATGGGAATCTTGCCTGATGGGAGCTGCAGTGGGAGGGAATGTGGATGTGGGGTCACCCTGGCCATTTATATTCACCAGTGGAGACACTGCAGGCATCTGGTTTTGCCCACACCCCATTTCTGTGGGGGATAAAATAAGGTGCCTTCATAAGGTGATGTTCTCAGAGATGAATAGATAATGTTGTGTTGACAGAGAAGGCTGATCTGAATGATTCTTTCCCAACTCAAAAATATTAGTTCTTGTCTTCAGTGAAACCAACGTGTGTAAGTGAGGCCTCAGCCAGAGTGTTGTGTTTTGTTGCATTGCAACAGTGAATGGCACAACAGGAGAAGGCCTATCCCTTAGCATCCAGGAGAGGAAGCTGTTGGCAGAAGAATGGATGTGCCAGGGAAAAGACAAGTAAGTAACTGAGAGGGAATGGGGGTTCCAGATTTTATGTTATAATAATGCCTGATTGCAAAACAAAATGTGCTGATGCTTTTTTTTTTTTTAGTATTGTGTTGCTGGGGTTTGTTCCCCAGCTCCTTTATCACAAAAGTATGTTTTTGCCACTGCCACTTAGCAGTGTGTGTTCCTGCAGGTGTGTTCCTGCTGCTCAGAGAACTTGTGAGAGTCCTTCTCTTTGGTACACTGAGACGTGGGGATGAGAAAGGGCTTGGAAAAGAAGGGCTGTCCTCTTTGCTTCATCTTGAGAAGAAATGCAAATAAAGTGCATTTCTGAACCTTTTAATATATTACATTATTTGATGTGACTGAAGCTGAGGTGTGAAGTGCTTAACTGCTTCCCTAAAAGTACAAAATTGATAAGAGAAGAAAGAATTCAATCTGAATCTGCAGCTGTGTATCCAATTTCAGCTTCATTCTTCCTTTTTTGTACTAGTCACAGCCTTGTATCCCTCACTGCCGCCTTTCTCTTGAATGCTGGGTCAGAGGATGTGCAGAGCAGGAGGGGTTTTGGGGGAGAAGGATAATGATGAGAAATAAACTAGTGTGAAGGATCATGGCCTTCAGATCCATAGCCTTTATATTCATGTCTCCTATGGATATAAAGGAGAAAAACAGCAGTGGGGTTGATGGACTGTAGCATGGAGGATTCCCTTTGCAGCAGCAGACAAGCTGTCAAACGTGGTGCTGTGAGGTTGAACTCTTCTGGTAGATTTGCAGACAAATAGGTTTAGAAAGTTAAGATAATTTTATTTCCTTTACACTTCCCAGCCTCTCCTTAAATCCTTTATGTCTTAATTTCAGTTTGCTAATAAAATGTTAAGATTCATCCCTTCTGACAGCCTTGCAAGTACGACAACAAGAAGTTGGATGTAAAGGATGTAAACATGTGATTCATGTTTACAAATGTGGTTTCTTTCTTCCACCACCACTTGTCACTGTCAGCATTTTCTCCATGTTTCTGGTCATCAGGACAACCCAGGCTCAAAGCTTTTTGTAGGTTCTCCTTCTGTGGCTGTCTGGGCTGAAGCAAGTAATTTTGGCAGCCTGGTAGTTCACCATCACTGAAACTTCACAAAAATCTTCTGAGTCTGTTTTTGGTTTTTTTGTGCAGATTGGACCATGTAATCATTCATGTGGGAGCACTGAATCTGCCAGAGTGCCAAGAGCTGGTGTGTATATGATATTTTTCACTCTGTGTGTGATAAATAGCAGCAGATGTACCCTCAGATACTTTCCACTCTGTCTTTCATAGGCAAGACACGCAGCAGCCATGGGTGCTGATGGCATTGCTGTCATAGCCCCCTTCTTCTTCAAACCTACAAACAAAGGTGAGTAGATGTGATTGCTGAGGCCTTTTTATTGCCCTCCCAACATTAGTCATAGATAAAAGATGAGTGTCATGTACTTTCTTTGGAAAATATTCTGTTGATAATGTTTGCACATCTGTAATGGAAAAGCAAAACCTGCAAGAAGCATTTTTTAAAGATGAGAGCAGAATTGTCCTGGTAAGAAATGGGAAGGATGTCTTTTGGGATGTATTTTGTTAGCCTTTTGGAAGAAGAAGAATTGCTTTTGGAAAGAATAATCTAGTTAACTAGTCTGTGTTCTAAATAGATAGTTTGGTGTTCATGTTTGATGTGGGCCACACGAGGAAGCAGCTGATTCCATGGTGGTCCTTGCTGGGCACTGATCAAGTTGAGCAACTGCTGATACACAGGTGTGGCCCTTGTTACTGGGGTGATCAGGTTTGGTTCTGTCTGTCTAAGATTACCTCAAAACTTACAAACGGAGTATTTTGTCCTTAAGATCCTGACAGTAACATAAAAGAACCACATGAAATGGAGGTTTGTAAAAGAAATATTAAAAGTTATCTGAATAATTTCTGAATGAAAGTGTTCATATGAAAGCACCATACCCCAGGGAGGTGAACGTGCACTTGATCCCTCGTCCTCTCTTGCACACAAGTGATCCTGCTGAGGCCACCTGGCACACAGGTCTGGCACATGTGAGAGCATGCCTGAGTTACACATGTAAGAGAATGAATAGGAGCTACTGAAACTGGTTTGGTTTAAAGGAAATATGTATTTACCTTTCTTAAGGTCTTCCCTGATTTATGTCACATTTTATGTTTTATGACATGTGAAGGGTTTTGTATGACTCGCTGTGTGTATGCACAAGCTGAGGCCTCTCCACAACCCCCATGCTGTGATTCTGAACTGTGTCTCCCTATGGATGGTCTCCTTCTCTTACGGGATCCCTGCTGGTTTCCTTCTAGATGAGCTGGTTGCTTTCTTACAGAAGGTTGCATCTGAAGCCCCTGAGGTGCCATTTTATTATTATCACATTCCTCCTCTGACAGGTGTGAAGAGTAAGTACAGAGGACAGATCTTTGATTATTTGCTCTGGAAAGCAGGTTATAGGTTTCTGAATGCATGGGTTTATATTGAGTCTTAAATGTTTTGTTGCCAGTTTATTCCTAAACTTTTTCTGATCTGGTAAAAGAGTCTTACTCTTTGTTGTCTTACTTGTTGTTTTAGAACTATATAGTTTACTGGACTTAGGCTGAAAGTGAACAGTTTGTAAAATATGAAGTCTTTCTCTTGGGGACAAGACAGGGAGCTGTCCCAGAATAGGCCTGTGTTCCCTCATATGAGACTGCTATTCTGCACAGTTCGTGTGGAAGAGTTGCTGGATGGGATAAAAGCACAGATCCCCACCTTCCAGGGTGTGAAGTTCAGTGACACAGACCTCTTGGACCTGGCACAGTGCATACACAAGAATGAAACAGGGGAGTTTGAATTCCTTTATGGGGTGGATGAGGTAAGAAGCTTCTCTTAAAAGTAATTTCTTCTAAGGTACTCTTGCTTCAGCCTTGGGGAAGAAGTAACCCCAGACATTCAGTATGAGGCAGTTTTGCTGCTCCCTCCCACCACCCCTTTTTCTCCTTTATTTTATTACATGAAGTAAAGTTTTTTTACTTTTCTTTTTCTCCCTCAACCCCAAACTAGCAACTGTTGGGTGCACTGGCACTAGGGGCAAGTGGAGCAGTTGGAAGGTCAGTATGGCTTGGACTCCTTCCCCTCACACATACACTGTGCTGTTTAATCTTCCACTATCTGCGTAGTATTTCCTTGACTGTATTCAGTCACAACAATGGAGGATTTTGCAGGATAGGGATGTACAGAGGCAAACAGACACACAATCTAGCCCCAGTCCTAGTGGTGGGGCAATCATGTAACCCAGGATCTCAGATTATGTTCCTTTGGGTGATCATTGCTGTGGGTTCTAAGCTGACCCAAGGTTTCAATGTACTTTTTATCCTCATGGCAACTTTTAAAGTATGTAATCACTTCTATCTGCATTGGGTAAGGAACCAAATCCCAGAGGTTAAAATTGTTAGTTCACATGAGCAGTCTGTGAAGAAAAGGACTGTGCTGAATTTAATTTCTAATTTAACCTCTGCCCCTCATATCAGGCTGATGAGATGAATTACAGTGTGATACCTGTGTTCTCATCTAGGCAGTCCATTAAATGAACAAGCAACTGGAAAATTAAGTGGTTGACTTTCCTTATTGCCTGATGATGTATTTTTATTTTTAGCTTTGGAAAGCAGTTCCGTTTGGAAAGAACTGGGAAGAGAAATTGGCTCTCTTAATTCTTCTATGGAGCTTGGCATACTTCAGATGCTTGACATTAGATTGCACCCCACATAAATTCCATTAATTTCTCTCCTAATAATGACAATGTCAACAGCAAAAGCCTGTGGTTACTTCTTTTGTTTCACTAGTTTTAAGTTCCTTCTTTGCATTTACCAGTTCTATTTTTGGTTTGGTTTTTTTGACAGTACATACAACTATTTGGGCCGACAAACCAATCTGATGTTGCAAGCCTTTGCAAAGCCAGACTTTGCCTTGGCACAGCAGTATCAGGTACAGCATCTTCCCAGGCCTCCCTGGGAGCAACCTTCTTTCTCTTTGAGCTTTATTGTGGCTGTTCTCCATGTGTTTCTCTCATCCATACTGAGACAGCTTTATTAAAGAAAAATTCTTTCATCTCCAGCTCCCCTTTTTGTTATTCATGCCTCTTCACTTTTTTCACCATTCCTCACTGCCTTTTAACCAAGACCTTTTAACCACTTACCCTTCAACTCTAATCTCATCCATGCAGGTGAGCAATGATATAAGATATAAATGTAGTAGCTTTAGATGCTTTTACACCTCTAAATTTGAGGGTATTAATAAATTACTGTTGGTCTTTTCTAGTTTCTCACTGGGGAATTTCTCAACTTTGTCATCAAACTGGGTAAGTAAACTAGGTAAACAATGCCTGTTTCCCTCACTGTGTCTAAAAGTGCAGACTTTCTGCTTCTCACCCTCACTGTGTCTAAAAGTGCAAACTTTCTGCTTCTCAAACTCTCATGTTGCTTTACTCTTAGAACTTCCTTCCTGAAAGATTTTGCAGTGAAAAACTGTTGCATCTGCTGTTTCCCAATTTAGTAGCAGTTGGGAGCTCAACAAAGGGAGCTGACCAAGCATCCCTGACAGATTCCACTCTCCCTTCCTTCCTTCTGCTGTGAAATCTCAGAGGTTTAAAGCTGTGACTATGATTTACCCTTATTCTTATCCTGACTCTTTCTGTGGGTTGGTTTTTTTTGTTGTTGTTGTTTTTTTCTTCCATCTCCAGAAGCTCATTTCCAGCTTTATTTCTAAAATATTTTTTCTGAAATGGTGGTGCCCAAGTAGAAGAATAGCCTTGCTGTAATTAAACAGAAATTTTGTTGAAGGCTGTACGAGGCCAAAACATTTTAAAATTGAATGATTACTAGAAACAATATCAAGTTTAAGTATAAAAAGCAATTAAAACCAACAGAGTGGTCTAGGGGGACTGAAACAGACAGGAGATGTTTACATTAAATTATATCAGACATTTAATGAAGAGAACTGTTACTGTGGGTTTGCTGTACATATGCAAGCCCTGATGAATCTTGCCAAGCTTTAGAACCTGGTTGTATTTCTTAGGTTCAAAGTCAGAGGAATTGCATTATTTTTTAGCCTTATAGATGCAGAGGCAAATACTAAATACCCAAAGATATGTAAGAAATCGTGAGCTATGGACAGAGAGCAGGATGTTGGTATTCCCAAGGCTTGGCTATGTTTGAGTCTTGGAACATGCTGGGAACACAAAGCCCTGTGAGGAATGGCTGAGGGAGCTTGGGACCTGGAGAAAAGGAGACCCAGAGGTGACCTTATCACTGTCTACAACTCCCTGAAAGGTGGCTGTGGTCAGGTGGGGTTGGTCTCTTTCTCCAGGCAGCACTGACAGAACCAGAGGACACAGTCTCAAGCTGCATCAAGGGAAATACAGGTTGGATATTAGGAAAATGTTTTTCATTGAAAGTCATAAAGTTCTAGAATGGTCTGCCCAGGGAGGTCATGGAGTCACCATCCCTGGATGTGTTTAAAAAAAGACTGGATGTGGCACTCAGTGCCAGGGTTTAGTTGAGGTGTTGGGGTATGGAGACCCCTTCAATGATCTTGAAGGTCTCTTCCAACCCAGTCGTGATGTGAATTCTGTGAGTCTGCATCAGGGGATGCTTATATTTGAATAAATATAGTAAGTAGGTGTCATTTTTACTGCAGTGTCATTCCTGTCTGCAAGCACAGTTACCTCTTTTAAATTACCCTGTTCTCACTTCCAAGAAGTGCTTGAAGCCTGGTTGATACTGGATTACGCAGAAAATCTGTACTGCTGCTCTTTCGGACACCTATATTGAGGCTGCCTTAAGGAAAGTGGTCTGCAAATGTCCTGATTTTGCTTTTGTCTGCCCAGGTTTTGGTGTTGCACAGACTAAAGCTCTAATGACTTCTGTTTCTGGCATTCCCATGGGACCTCCACGGCTTCCACTTGTTGATGCTTCCAGTGAGTTCGTCATCAAGGCCAAAGCCAAGCTGGACAGCATTGTGTGGCCTAATGGTGACTGATCATGGAGTCATGGAATCATTACAGTTGAGAAAGACCTCCAGGATCATCAGGTCCAACCAATAACTTGACATTCCTGAGTCCACCACTAAGCCACATCCTCAAGTGCTGTTTGTACACTTCCATGTTGATCTGGAGGTTTCTTTTCTCTGGTATATGGGATTCTCTGCCATATGACGCATCCCCCACATGATGGGCAGGATTTCTTTCAGGGAACTGGTGATGTGCCCAAGCTCCTTCCTCTTAGGGCTGGCTTTACTGGGGCACATGTGGCCTGACATTTTACACTGCTCCCCTGGAGCTCTGCACCTTCCAGGATTGACTGGGATTGTTTAATAAAAAAATAGCAAACTTTTCACAGTTGGAGGAGAGAGCTGATGACTTTTGCATAGAAATGAGGAAAATCTGTCTCTACCCCCTCTCAGGTGGATGGTGTTTTGTCCTCTCCATGAGGACACTACATTGTGGGTTTAAACAACAGTATGACACTGTCAGGTTGCTCAGGCTGGTATCTGTTCATCAGATTGTCTGTGCATGTAAAATCCTGCTTCTGTCTGATCTCTGTGTTTATAAACCTTAAGGCAAACTAAAAAAAGGAATCCCTTTTGTGACAGCAGGCTTTGGATCACTAATAAGCAGGTATTTCTCCCCTTTATTTTTCCTTAGGACAGAAATAAAGCCACAATTGAGCTGTGTACCTCCATGTGGCAGTGCAGAATGCTGTCATTCAAGTTAGGAAGGCATAGAATCATAGAAACCTAGAATGGTTTGGGATGGAAGGGACCTTAAAATCATCCCATTCCATCTCTTGCCATGGGCAGGGACACCTTGCACTGTCCCAGGTTGCTCCAAGCCTCATCCAACCTGTTCTTGGACATGCCAGGAGCAGCCACAGCTTCTCTGGGCACCCTGTGCCAGGGCCTCACCACCCTTACAAGGAAGAACTTCTTCCTAATATTCCATCTAACTCTGCCCTCTGGCAGTGGGAAGCCATTTCCCCCTTGTCCTGTCATGTCAGGCCTTGTTCCAAGTCCCTCTCCAGCTCTCCTGGAGCCCTTTTAGGCACTGGAAGGGGCTCTGAGGTCTCACTTGAGCCTTCTTTTCTCCAAGCTGAACACCCCCAGCTCTCCCAGCCTTGTCTCCAGAGCAGAGGGGCTCCAGCCTATGGAGCATCCTCAAGGCTTTCTCTGGACTCGCTCCTGAAAGGGTTAAAAGCATTGTGCCTAGGCATACTTGGGCAAGAATGAGCTATATCATAGCCAGTATAGAAGCTAGCAAATATTAAGCCCCAAGCTAAATACACAGAATGAAATTTGGCAAGAAACAGGGGTCAAAACTTGCATAAAGTGAAGGACAAAGCTTGCTAAAACCAGTGAGGAAATCGCTGAAGCAGCTAACAAGAGGCTGCCCATGCCTAGAGGAGACAGGTGAAAAGGGCAGGGCGAGGAAGACGTCCAGCCTTCACCACAGGAGCACCGAGGAGGATGCGGAGCCTTCCTCAGTGCAGGCAGCAGGGTGCACTGCGCCTGCGCCGCGTGTGTGCTAATGACAGTAATTCTAAGAGATAGTTTGCAAAACCACACCTTTTCCAAGGAAAACAATGAATATGCATAGTATAACCATATATTGTAATGTGCCATGTGCCTGGGTACGCGCCGTTAGGAGGAGTGATCCCGGCGCGCTGAGTAAAGCAAATGCCCACGTTTTACACTTTGGCTCGGAAGTGTCTCTTGGCCCAGTTTGGGGCGATTCAGCAGCTCCGTGTCCTGATGTTGGGGCCACACAACTGCAGGCAGCTCTGCAGGTGGGGTCTCACCAGAGCAAGTCACCTGATGTCAAATTGAAAGGTGCACTTTGTTGTGTTCTGTGCTGAACCTGATGCTGATGATCCCTGTGGCTGAAACATGAGGGGTCCCATGCCGTGATTGCTCCTCATGAAAACAATGATTGCAGGGTGGCTGGAATGAGGGAGGAGAGATCCGGGATGTACTGGGGCACTTGAGTGGTTTTGCCACAACCAGTGGCACCACGGATGACAACAACAGAATTGTGATGGATTGGATTGCGTCCAGAATTTCACTTTCAAAATTCTTCTGAGGTAAAGCCTCTCTTTCTTCTTGGATCTGGAAAAAAAAAGTCCAGAGCTGTCGCTGTCAAGGCAGGACGGGAATAAAAAGACTGACTCAGAAGGGTGCTGAAAGTAAAACTCCGGTTTATTCAAAAGACACCACTCTTTTATACAGAGCTTCGTGAGGACCAATGCATTGGTCCTGAAGTGGAAACAATGCACACCATTGGTGCAGAGTGCTTGATGAACAGTGATAGAACTGAACTATAAACAATGTGAACAACAAGAGACATAAAGAATTATTTACATTCTTCTCCAACTCTTTCCCAGGCTTCTGCCTGGATAGAAACTCTCAGTTTCTCTCTTTGACTGAATCTGAGACCCACACAGGGCACTTCCAAAATCTCCAAAAATCAGCCTGTTCTGCTGCACATCTATACTTTGCCTCACTTTTCTACACTTTTCCCTTACCCAACGGAAAAACTGACAAAGAACAGGTCATAGTTTGTACTTTTTCCTCACCCCCACATCCATCCCAGTGGAACATCCAGCACTTCTGAAAACGCATTGTGTTTATTTGTGCTGAAATCCAGCCTTGTACACTCTGTGTTACATTCAAGCCCTTCTGGAAAATCAAGAGCCCAGCACAAGGATGACAGGTCACAGGACACACACTTACCCTCTGCAATTCCTGGTCCTGCTCCAGACGATACATGAAATCACTTCTCAGATCCGTGCTGATCTGCTCCGGAGTGAGCTGGAAGTGCAAGTGGAGACTTTTTGACCCCTCTTCTTCTCTACATCCTAACTTCAGTATCACACCAGTCACACCAACATCGTGATCCCAAATACCCCTAAAGGATGGTTTCCTGCATAACTCCCTGAAATCAGTTATGCCTCTGAGCTGTTTTATTTCACTCATTCCAGTGTATTAAACATTCATCTCCAAAGAAGTCTCTCAGAAAGACCGACAACACTGAAAAAGAATGATTGTTTAAATTGAATCATTTTGACCGCTTGAGTAACACACTCTATTCAGCAGTAAGCTAAGAAGAAGATGGTTCAGGGAAGAGCCCGGCGGAGGGGCGCTGGGGGGCGGGCGCAGGGAGCGCGCCCGGCTCCGCCCGGCCCTCCCCGGCTCCCTTTGGCTCCCCCTGGCTCCCTTTGGCTCCCCCCGGCTCCCTTTGGCTCCCCCCGGCCCTCCCCGGCTCCCTTTGGCTCCGCCCGGCTCCGCCCGGCCCTCCCCGGTTCCCTTTGGCTCCGCCCGGCCCTCCCCGGCTCCCTTTGCCTCCGCCCGGCTCCGCCCGGCTCTCCCCGGCTCCCTTTGGCTCCGCCCGGCTCCCTTTGGCTCCGCCCGGCCCTCCCCGGCTCCCTTTGGCTCCCTTTGGCTCCGCCCGGCCCTCCCGCCGCGCAGGCGCTGCCGTGCGGGGCTGCCGCGGGCCCGGGGCGGCTGGAGCGGGCCCCGCCATGGGGGACGTGAAGAACTACCTGTACGCCTGGTGCGGCCGGAGGAGGGTGATGCCGGCCTACGAGATCCGCGCCGCCGGCGGCCGCGGCCGGCAGACCTTCCTGTGCGAGGTTCGAGCTTGAGGCGGCGTAGGGCTCCGCCGGGGCCCCGGCGTGTTGCGGGGCTCTGTCCGGGACCGGGGGCTGTGCTGCGGGGCTGGGGGCACGGCGGGGGCTCTGCCAGCGGCTCTGAGGGCACGCTCGAAGGCAGTGTGGGGCCTTGCCGGGGGTCTGGGGCTCCTGACGGGCTCCGGGCTTTGTCAGGGGTCGGACCCGGGGCTTTGCCCCAGGGAAGGTGGGATCAGTGCCGGGGTGTGGGAGCCGGTCTGGCGGCTCTGTCACAGGGAGCCTTGGGCCCTGCTGCGGGTGCTGCCGTGGCCTGGGCTCTGCCAGGGGGAGCCCGGGGCCAGCACCGGGTCTGGGTCCTGCCCGGGACCCGGGTCCTGCCCGGCCTCAGGGGGAATCATGGAAGCCCAGGGCTTGGGGAGGGCTGGGGCGCTTTTATTCAGAGTGTCCTGGCTGCGTGTGCACGGTGTGAAAGGAGGGAAGAAGCCCGAATGATGTTCTTACAGGGAAAACGGGTTGGTTTATTTAAGGGTGGTGTGTGTCTCTGCACTGTGTGCGACCCTTCTTGCAGTTAAAATAGCTGGTGAGGGATACTGTATGTCCCCTTTGGCAACAGCTTTGGTCTGATCTTGAACTTGAGATGAAATGTATTAAAGAATTATTGTTGGAATGGTTGTTACTCTGCACTGCTCTAATAGTAGTTTACTCCTGCCTCTAGATATTTGGGATGTAGGTGCTGTGAATTCAGGTTGGCTCTGACAGGTAACTGGCACTAATTGTGAGGCCATATGTAGAACAGATCAGTTAATGAGTGATGCCATGGATTTGCACTAAACAACTTAAATTTGTCATTTTACCCTTCACTCCCCTGTTTGTCTTCTGCATCAGTAAGGAAGCAAAGAAACACAGTGGCATTAAAGCAATTTTCAAAGTATTATAACTGGTTAAGCAATACTCAGATAGAATGGTTGTATGAATAGATATATTCACAGAATCATAGAATGGCTTGGGTTGGAAAGGACCTTAAAGCTCATCCAGTCCCACCCCCTGCCATGGACAGATATTTTCCACTATCCCAAGCTCCAAGCCCCATCCAGCCTGGCCTTGAACACTTCCAGGGAGAGGGCAGCCAGAGCTTCTCTGGGCAACCTGTGCCAGGGTCTCACCAAACTCACAGTGAATAATTTCTGCCTAATATCCCATCTAACCCTGCCCTCTGTCGGTGTGAAGCTGTCCCCCCTTGTTCTGTCTCTCCATGCTTTTTGTAAAAAGTCATATATTGTATTGTACAATACTATACATAATACATATTGTGTATAGTATTGTACAATACAATATATAAGTATTGTACTGGGTTTGATATGTTGATGCCCCATGATTATCCATGGAAGCTTTACAAGTGAAAGGATCAGTCTCACTTAAACATCTCTCTTGCTGATTTTTACAGCCTGGTAGGATGGCTGTGAATCCTGTATGGTTACTATGTGGTTAGAGATACCATTGTCTAAAGTAAATAAAAAAAATTGGAGATAAATCACTTACGTGTAGTTGGAATAACTTGGAGCTATGGCTGAGTAGACACAAGGTCACGCTTGTGAAAATCCCCAAGAGTTTGGGATTTAGGTTGAGGAAAGTGACCTTGTGCAGAGTTTGCTGTGTGTTGCCCTTCCTACATTGTTTTTTCTTCTTCCACAAGGTTTTGGGAAGCCCTTGTGCTCTAAGAGGAGAAGTTCTCAGGATGTGGGGGTTTGTTTTTCAAAACCTGTATGTAATATTAGTTATATTATTTCTTAGTAACATTATTTCTCCTGTACTTATCCGCAGCCAGGATTTGGTGTTCCTGTGGGTGTTGCTGGCCCCTTTCATCTTCACATGAGCAGTGTGTTGTTCCTTGCAGGTTCGAGTGGAAGGCTTCAATTATGTTGGCATGGGCAACTCTACCAACAAGAAGGATGCGCAGAGCAACGCTGCCCGAGACTTCATCAACTACTTAGTGCGGGTGAATGAAATGAAGAAGGATGAAATCCCTGCTTTTGGAGTAAGATGCTCTTTCTCCTTACCAAAGACTACTCTATTATTGTGCTGCCATGCTCCCAGTTGTGTTTCAGCCCTGGAGCTCAGTCTGGGTTGTGTTTCATCCCTGGAGTTCGGTCTGGTGCCCCTGTGCAGTGATGAATGTGAGGAAGGCTGAGGCACATACAGAATATCATGGAATCGTGGAATCATTTAGGTGGCAAAAGACCTTTGAGATTGAGGTCCAAGTGAATGTTGTAGGATGATCTGGCAAATACAGCTGCATGTTGTATTTACCAGATCAAATGATGCAAAGCTGATGAGGCTGGAAAGAATTCAGAGTGCATCTGAGGTGCAGCCTGTCTTTCAAAGTGCTGAGTACTCACACCTGACACTGTGAAGTCTTAAAGCCATGCTCTAATATATATATATATATTAATATATGTATATATATGAAATATATATAATCCTTTAAAAATTACGAAAACCAAGCTCAAAAATAATAATCACAGATATAGCAAACCAGACATTGAAAATCTGGCATTTTTAAACCATAATTGCTTCAGGTGTGTAACAGGATCACTGGTTTTTTATGTTTTGTGAACACTCAACAGTGACTATCACTTAAAGGCTGAGGAAGAGGAGGGTAACTGTCATTGCAGCAAGTTTAGAGAAATAAATAAAGCATGAAGAACCTGTTGAGAGGGAAGAATCTTCTAGTGCTCCATTGAGGATACAGGAATTTTCTGAGTGGAAGCAGTCTCCCTGCTTCATCAGCCTAGGTGGAACCCAGTGGGAGCAGGACTGCTATTTTGGTTTTAATTTGCCAATTAGTTTCTTGGCAGTTCAGTGTTAAAATATTCACAGTTGTGTTACTATTGGGATTGCTTCTGAGTAGTAATTGTTGCATATTTACTGGGGATGACTGTTGCATGATTTTGCCTGAGGTCTTTAAACTTCCTGAACAATTTCTAGCTAAATAGTAAAATGGCTTATTCTGCACCAATGTGATGAGGTTTTCCTTCATTCCCTTCCCTAGCCAGCAGCAGGTGATAACCGCACTGGAGGACAGGAAGCAGCTAGAGGTGTCACTGGTTCCAGTTCAGCTGTGGGGGGACCTCTTCCTCCACATTTGCTTTTAAAAAGTGAAGTAGGTAAGACTGAAAACTGTAATTTCTGTGTATTTGAATGTATTTTGGCAGTGATTTCTCCCCCACATTGCATCACTCTGCAGACAGGACACCAAAGTCATAGTTTTGAGGCAGAGTTGTGGATGACTGCATGAGATCTGTGGGACTGGTCATGGCCTGTCAGGATGGCCAGGCATTGCCTCTCCATTGCTAAGAACATGTTTTGGGGAGTTATTTTATTTCATTTCATTTCATTTCGTTTTGTTTTGTTTTATTTTATTTATTTTATTTTATTTTATATTTTTTTTCTGTGTGATAGGCAATGGACCAGGTGCAGCACCTGGAAACTGTGGCAGTCATGGAGCTCAATGGGATCGGGGTGCAAACTTGCAAGATTATTATTCCAGAAAAGAGGAGCAAGAAGTGCATGAGGTAAGTCATGCAGAGGAATTCTCCTTTAGTTCTTAAATAGGTATCTTTCATCCTCTTTAATTCGTTGTTTGCATTTATAATCAAGGTTGCAGTTTTCTTTTGATATTTTGCTGTTAGTTTAAGCTGCATATTTATTTGTTGACTTTTAATGAAGTTAATTTTTTTAAGATAGGGACAAATAAATCACTCTGGATAGTCTGAACATCCAGGACTTTGTATAGACATTTTATTCTGAAAATAAAGAATTACTGAGGACTTTTTTGCATTTTCTGTGCTGTCTTGATTATTTTATAGCATACAGGTGAATTACTTAATCTTTAAACTGGTAAATGATACTCTTTTTTCCATATTAGACCCCAGAGTCAGAAGTGGACTTAAATGCAGATCTTCATGGGGGTTGGACCTTGGAAAATGCCAAGGCACGTCTGAACCAGTTTTTCCAAAAGGAGAAGATCCAGGAAGAATATAAATACACTGAGATGGGGCCTGATCACAACAGGTTTGGTGGTTTTAGTCACTGTCCATGTGTGAAGGGTTCAAAATATTTTTGACAGCGGTTGTTCACATTTACTTGCCACGCTCCGTAGAGCCATAGTGTTCTTTGCCAGGACCAACAATATCCCTAAATATTGATATGGGGGTGAGTAGCCTCAGTGCAGAGATCTGAGGTTTTGAAGAAATTCCTGAGAAATTGTGGATATGCAGCTTTTACACTGAATTCTGTCCTCTAGCCAGCTGCTTGGGTGCCAGTTTCTGTGAAAAGAGAGCTCAACTGTTTGTGATAATTATTCTGTAACTGTTGTTGCCTTTGTGCATTTTAAGTCTTAAATTTGCTTATAGAGCAATGTGCTTTAAGGACATTTTATTTATATTTTTATTATATATATTATTATTATATAATATGTATTTATTATAATTAACTTTTTTGGCAATACAGTCTTCTTTTGAAAAAAGTAGTTTGGCAGAATCTTCCCAAAGGAGTTCTGAGAGTCTTAAGTTTCAGTTAAGACCAGCTGGATATTACTCTTTTTTGACTTTTAACCATTCCACCAGAGAATTTGCATGTGCTTCTCCCAAATGAAAGTAGTTCCTAACAGATTGTGCATAAAGAATTGATGGTTTTTATTATTTTATCCCTATTAGGAACAGTCTTTACAAATCATCCAGATGTTAGGATGTGGTATTATTTCTGGTGAAATATAATGGTGTTTTATGGCAGGAAACAATGGTATGGTGCTGCTGCTGGATTCTCCTGATTGGGTTTGGTGTTGGGCTTTTTTGCATTATATAAACTTGTGTCCTATGAGACTTATATTTTTAGAAATACAGGAGAATTTTCCTATTACAGCCTTTTCAAGAGAGTCCCACTTGCAGGACTTTTTGTATTCTTTTATTAATGAGTCTTCCAATAATTTGGAACATCTAAAAGATGTCTATTGGTACAAAAAGTTGTAAATTCTTATTTAAAACCTGTCTTCAAGTCACTTCATGTCAATTTATGTGCCTCAGGCAAGGCCTTTTCCTTTACTTAAGTGAGTGACATAAAAAGTTAGTTTGTACAGTACTAGGAATTTAAATTATGCTAGTTGCAGGCATAGCTTCTGAACATTTATCTTGCAGTGTAGGCACACAGTTTGTGGTGATTGGGATGGGGCTGTGGGAGCCTCATCCCCAGTGGGCTCAGCTGTGAGGAGCAGGTGAGCAGCACTGACAGCAATGAGCCATGGAGTGCCCAGGGGCACTGAGCAACCACCAAAGGGAGCAGAGGCACACAGTGCAATCTGTGAACATGAGGGGATAAAAGGCTGGGCTAAAGGACAAGAAGGACAGAGGCTTGCATCTTTCTGAAGTGTTGTGGTGTTACTCTTTCAGGGTGAATGCTTAAAGCCTTCTGAAACTTTATGATAATACTGTATCATAGCTGTCTCAACTTAGACATATGTTGTGATATTGTAGCTTAGGGATTATTTGTGTAGCTCCTTTTTTGTTACACTTTCTGTAGCATTAAACCCCATGTATTTAAATTTATCTAGTCTTGAGCAGAATGAAATTATACTGATGGCAGTATGTTTCTCAGCCTGGTTATTGTTCTTCTGGAGTGCATTTGTTCAGGGAACTTTTTGTTCAGGGAAGTGTGTGTGGATTGCCCTGGATGGAATGGCAGAAAGGGCTATTCACTATCTCCTGCAACAAATCAAATAGACATGAAATAATCTTAACGTGGTGTAGGGCTCATTGAGAGCCTGTTGGATTTAATCCTTTTGGTGTGTGTAATAGGAGAGAGATGTTTTTGGAGTTTCGAGGGTGTAATAAAGGTTGTTAATAAAGGTAGGTTGTTGAGTTTTTTTAAAGAAATAACAGTTATTGTGCATCTTGCCAATCTATTTTGGGGATTTTTTGAGGTAATGATCAGAGATATAGATTATAACATATATCAGCCATGCTCTCAGAGGTTTGTGGTCAATTAATCATATTCATGGTCTGAGAACTTAGTAATAGCTGGAAAACTTGAATTTGGAAACTTTAACTGTGATAGGAGGGTATAAGTTGTAAATATAAAGATGTTTGTCCTAAAATACAAAGCATGAGCTCATGTTAAGGGATGGGATGTGGCTTTTCTGTGTTGGGATGCCTGTGCCTCCTTCTGTTCCTGCTGAAGACCTACACCACAGACCTGCGCCTGCTAACACAGGGGCTGCTGAGGCTGGACTAGGGAATCATGTGGGATTCTGCTGCAAACTGATTTCTGGTGTTGCTGTTCTCCCCTCAGGTGGAGGAGAATGAGATTGAATGCTGACTGTAGGCCTGGCTGAGAAACATACTGTCATCGGTGTCTTAGGTGGCTGTTGTGTCCCTGAGAGCCAGTGGCCTTCGACCCCTGAAGCCACTGTGCCTGAAGGTCAGTTTGCTGATAGCACAGGAAGGAGGGATAACCTGAAATTTCAAACACTTAACCTTTTTTATTGTTTGTTTGCAGCAAAAAATGAAGGACACAGGTGCAAGGCCCAGCCTCCACCCGTGCAAAGGCCAAGCCCTAGTTTCCAAAGAGGATCTCAATCCAATAAATTCCAGTCATGCATCTTGAGTCACATTTACCAGTTTAAGTCCTGTCTTACAAGAATTCAGCTTTAATATTTCCTGTGGCAAATACAGGCTTAGGTTTGGGATTCTTAAAAACATGGGTTATGATTTCTGTTCTCCTCTGTTGAGGATTTTTTTTTTTAAGCCTGAATTCTTTCCTGTGAGGGTGGTGAGACCCTGGGATAAGTTGCCCAGAGCAGCTGTGGCTGCCTCCATCCCTGGAAGTGTCCAAGGCCAGGTTGGACAGGGCTTGGAGCAAGCTGGGATAGTGGAAGGTATCCTTACCCAGGGGATTGGAACGAGGTGGTTTTTAAGATCCCTTCCAACTCAAACAATTCCATGATCCTATGATTCTGTGATGGTTATGCCAGTTAACCTTTAACTGAACTGGCTACATGTCTACTAAGTAAACTGTTGGGTTTGCTACCAGAGTTACCCTTGAGTAACTACTACTCTGTTACTCAAGTTTTGCTGTTTCTATAATATGGCAATAAGGGAATGGAAATTCATGCAAATTTAAATATTCTGTCTCCTGTTCAGATAAGTTCAATGTTTTTGACTAAATGACCTGGTTTGGTTTTGTTTATGCTCTGAGCTGATCAAGTGTGTGGCAAAAAGCAGTGTAACTGTATTAATGATGCATCTAGTCATTAAACACAGGCTGTTAGTGGATTACATTAGTTTTGTACCAATACTACTGTGGGATACAGTTATTGGTACATTGGGATGCATGTTAATGTTACATCCCACCTGCTTTGTAATTGTTGCTTTAAACTTGGACAGCTCAAAGCATATTTCCTAATAACATGGCTGAAAATTTCAGTGCTGAACAGTGGCACGTTCAGAGCTCTTCTTATCAAATGTACTGATTCTGTTGATGACAGGTCTGTTACCTACTACCTTGGGGTTAAAGGGACTAAAAGCAGTAATACTTTACCTTGGTTGTTGATGAATTGAGAGTTTCTGCCTGAGGACAGAGATCTTTGCCTGGAAATATTGGAAAGACTAAGTATGTTTGGTAGTTGTACCTTTGTGTTCTTTTCTTTCTCTTGCAGGAGCTTTAATGCAGAAATGAACATTTATGTGAGGCAGCTGGGCAGAAGTAAGTGCTCCTATTTATTTTTTAACTTAGCAAGAGATGGGTGTTGGTATAGAAGAACATTTGTGGGCACAGAGTTGATTATAGTTATGTGGTGGAGCCACTTCCAGAGGTAAAGGATCATTTGTGTGATGTTGCTGGGTGGTATTGGACAATCATATTTCCTTAGGCACTGAATGCAGAAAAACTTCAAAGGATTTAGCAGTAAAGTAACATCACACAACTAGTGTGAGCTGGGCAATGGAGGGGCCTGGTTGGATTTTAATTTGGAATTCTGGATTTATCAAGATTTGAGACTGTCCATGAAACCTGGTTTGAGTGTAGAGTCAGAGAGCCCAGTTCAGAGTAGTATCTTCTGTGGAATCTGCTCAACTCCTTTGCTGCTACAGCTCTGACCTTTGTGTGCTGCAGGGATTTTCAGTCGTGAGCATGGATCAAACAAAAAGCTGGCAGCACAAGCCTGTGCCCTTTCCCTGGTCAGACAGCTCTACCATCTTGGTATCATTGAGCCTTACTCTGGGCAGACAAAGAAGAAAGGAGAATCGGTGAGTTTGGCAGGAGGGACAGGAATTATTGTTTTCATTTCATAACACGGACGCACTCTCATAAACATAAGGAGTGAGTTAAGAGTTTGCTCTCCATATGTAACATCTTACAAGTTATTAATATTTTTTATTCTTTAGCAGCTGTTTCTGTTCTGGTGAGTGATTTGGATCAGAAATATAATTTCATATGTATGTGACTGGATGAGTTACTAATTTTACATGCTCTTAAATAGGATTTGTAACAAATGTTATTTTCAGTCTAATTTTTCTGCAAGCTTGAATATTTCTGTCTAGGCTGGCTGTTTGGATTAATTGTCTGTCACATGAGGATTTTCTGGCAATTCAAATATATATACACACATACCAAGGAGTATATGTTATTTTGGTATTTGGTTGCAAGTTTGGGAACGTGTTCCTCTGAAATGAAACCCAGATATTTAAAAATAGCCTACAAATCTTTATTCAATGAAAAGTCAGCAAAACATTCCAAGAATGTGAATTCTGAACTGATGATACTCTTTGGCCTTATTTCACAAGGAGGTGTAATAGCCCACAGTTCTGACTTCCAGTGCCTGTCTTTTTGTGTATAATGATGCGTAGTTTTTAAATATTTCCTAGTTGGAACCCTATGAGGTGTCGCTGTCTCCTGACTTGGAAAATCATCTGCAAAAGACTGTACGGGAACTGTCTCTGGAGATTGTGCCTATGGTGAGTGTGTGGTTCAATACTCCAAGTATGGACCATCACATCTGCTCATTTAATCATTTATCTGTCTTTGCCCACTCTGCTTTTGGATTTATAGCCTGAAGATCCCAGTAATCCGGTTCTGATCAACGTTGGCAAGCTGGCCCATTTTGAACCATCACAGAGACAAAGTCATACGGGAGTTGTTCCCTGGTCACCACCTCATTCCAACTGGAACCCTTGGACTGGCTGCAATATTGATGAGGGTCCTCTGGCAAATGTAAGACAGCTTAAAAAATGGATCTGTTGCTTGATTTCCCCATGCTTCCAGAACTTCTAAATGCTTCTCCCCCACCAGAATTTGAAGTGTTTAAAGAATTTAACTAAAAACATCTAGCCTTTTGGTACCAAATTTGCATTTCTTCAGATTTCTATTGCAGATGGTAGACAGGATTTGTCTTATGAATTCTCTTCCAACTTTTAGCTTTTCAGCTACTGTTTAAAGGGTGGGTTTGTGTTTACATTAGGTGACTATTGATATTAAAAACTCCTGTTTAAATCATCTTCTTCTTAGCTTACTGCTGAATAGAGTGTATTTCTCAAGCAGTCAAAGTATTTCAATTTAAATAATCATTATTTTTCAGTGTTGTCGGTCTTTCTGAGAGACTTCTTTGGAGATGAATGTTTAATACACTGAAATGAGTGAAATAAAACAGCTCAGAGGCGTAACTGATTTCAGGGAGTTATGCAGGAAACCATCCTTTAGGGGTATTTGGGATCACGATGTTGGTGTGACTGGTGTGATACTGAAGTTAGGATGTAGAGAAGAAGAGGGGTCAAAAAGCCTCCAAGTAATGTCTTGCACTTCCAGCTCACTCCGGAGCAGATCAGCACGGATCTGAGAAGTGATTTCATGTATCGTCTGGAGCAGGACCAGGAATTGCAGAGGGTAAGTGTGTGTCCTGTGACCTGTCATCCTTGTGCTGGGCTCTTGATTTTCCAGAAGGGCTTGAATGTAACACAAAGTGTACAAGGCTGGATTTCAGCACAAATACACAACACGTTTTCAGAAGTGCTGGATGTTCCACTGGGGTGGATGTGCGGGTGAGTTGTGCTGTGCCAGGAAAAAGTACAAACTATGACCTGTTCTTTGTCAGTTTTTCCATTGGGTAAGGGAAAAGTGTAGAAAAGTGAGGCAAAGTATAGATGTGCAGCAGAACAGGCTGATTTTTGGAGATTTTGGAAATGTCTGGACTTCTTTTTTCCAGATCCAAGAAGCAAGAGAGGCTTTACCTCTGAAGAATTTTGAAAGTGAAATTCTGGATGCAATCCATCACAATTCTGTTGTTGTCATCCGTGGTGCCACTGGTTGTGGCAAAACCACTCAGGTGCCCCAGTATATCTTGGATGAATACATCAGAACCAACCGAGCTGCTGAGTGCAACATAGTGGTGACACAGGTGAGGAATGTGTGGCCACTGCAGTTCTGTAGTAGAGATAAGAAATCACCTGTTGATTAGGATAAAATCACAGAACCATGGAATGGTTGAGGTTGGACAGGACTTAAAGCTCATCTCATTCCAACACCCTTCCATGGTCAGCAGTGCCATCCACGAGATGAGGTTACTCCAATCCCTATCCTTCCTGGCCCTGAAAGATTGAAGGATGTGTTGAGGAACCTTATTATCATTGCAGGACATAGTTCATAAAGGTACATCCTCAGCAATATAAGTAGGAGAAACCTCAGCATCATGTGTATTGTCATTTGGAATGCTATTCTTGCATGGATTTACATTTCGGATAACCTGAGTTGAACCTTGCCTAAGTGAAAACTCTCAGCAGACCCAGGGGAAATGATTTGGGAAGTAGTAGCTGGTAGTTGCCATATATCCTTATATCCCTCCTTTGTGAAAAAAACCCTATGCTGGTGCTCTATTAATGTTTAACAATTACTTTGTAAAGAAATCTTAGGACAAGACACCTGTAGTATTTAGGATTTCCTTTATTGCTTTCACTGGTATTGTGATAAACTTCTAAAAGCTCTTCATTAAGTTATGGAAAACTTTTCCATCCCTCAGCCCCGGCGGATCAGCGCAGTTTCCGTAGCAGAGCGTGTGTCCTATGAGAGGGGGGAAGAGCCTGGCCAGAGCTGCGGGTACAGCGTGCGGTTCGAGTCTGTGCTCCCTCGGCCACACGCCAGCATCATGTTCTGCACTGTGGGTCTGTATTCATTCCTTATGTTTGGAGCTTATTGTGGGTCTGAACTCTTGAGTTAGCAGCAAAAGCAGAAATATGGTTAGATTGAAATTTTTATAAAGTCTGCTTAGAAGATTGAAATGGTTTTTTTGGATAAAAGTTTGCTGGCATGCCGTTATGCAAAGAAAAAATATTTTTGTTCAGAAGTCTGATAATACAGGTCTGATAGCACACAGAAATAATTCCATGAAGAGAGAAAATTGTCATATATTGATTATCCTTAAAAGACAGAAGGGAAAGCAGCACTGGGTGGGAAAGATGGATAATGCTTGTGATAATGCTTCGTGGCCTTGCCATCACTTGTACAAAGGAAAGATGGCAATTAGAGATGGGGTTGGAAAAGGGGCTGTGCAGCCTGCACACTTCCTGATTTTTAAACCAGGGGCTGGGAGGGGGAAGGTAGAACTGTTACATGAACATTTACCTTCTGTTTCTGGTTTAGGTGTTCTTCTGAGAAAGGTGGAGACTGGGATCCGTGGCATTAGTCACGTAATTGTTGATGAGATCCATGAGAGAGACATTAACGTGAGTTACCTGGTGATGACAGTCCTCATCTCTGTATGCTTCTGTTCTGTTTAATATCTGTATGTGTTTGTGTGTAATGGCCAGTATGCGAGGGAAATTGTGTCTTAGTGAGTGTCAGATGTGTGAGTTTTCCTTCTTTGATAAGATTTTTTAGAACTCTTAATTATTCCTTATCTAAGTAGCAGAGCAAGGACCTGTGCTTCCTTGCTGCCCTCTGACTGTTCTCCTGTTGGCATCCCCTGTGTCCTGGTCCTCTCTGGAAACTGGAACACCACAGTGCAAACACATCTTGTCCAAGTTGGGGAGCACACTGAATGATGTTGTTATTTTGGAGTGCTGTTTGTATTGGCACTGTTGTATTACTGGTGGTATTCACAGACCCTGCAGATAGTGATACATTGAAATTCAGGGTTTACATGAAGTAAAATACAAGTTGATGATAGAATTAGGAGAAGTATTGTATATAATTTGAAATAGCGAACATTTTCTGTTTCCTTGATTATTCTTTATAGTTTTCAGCTTTGTCATACCAAGAGTGAGAGAAACTGTGAAGTTCTGACATGTTGTTTAAGGTTGTTTGTACAGAATTTGAGGACTCATTTGAATAAAATTGCAACAAACATTTTTCTGATGCATCTCTTCATCTATTAAATGTATGTTAATGATGTAAAATATAAGTTTGGAAATTGTGAGATTGGAATTTTGTCTGTTGAGCTAAATGCGTGCCTAACTAACTGCATGTCAGAGTCATATTTAAACAGAACTACAAACATCAAACATACCTGCACTGAGTAATTCATATTTATTTTATGAATTATGGCTACTTTATATGTAAGCCAAATTTAAAAATACTTGGGGTTGTAATGTAATTGTTAGGACAGAAGCAAACTATTTTTGTAGGAAAGAAAAACCCTTCTTTACGCTGGAAATCCTAAAAACCACTTATCCCAGGCATGGCAGTAGTTTCAAAATAAAGCACTGACAACTGTTCCTAGTTTTAGAACACTTTTGCTCTACTTGTTATTTCTCTTGCTCAGTGAATATGTAATTCCTTCTGGTTTCTTGGGAAGATACTGCTTTTTATAGCTGTGAAGTTAACAGTGTTCTTATTCTCTTTTTATGCAGACTGACTTCCTTTTGGTGGTGCTGAGGGATGTGGTTCAGGTGTATCCTGAAATCAGGGTTGTCCTCATGTCTGCCACCATCGATACCAGTATGTTCTGTGAATACTTCTTCAATTGTCCCATCATCGAGGTCTATGGCAGAACCTTTCCTGTCCAAGGTAAATCCTTGGTTGCACTTCCAGAAACTGCTTGATTTTTTATCAATCTTGCCTTCATACTCTGAAATAACCTGGTTTATTTCAGGAGACTCTTGAGAAGTGGTGTAAAGAATTATGTTCCCTTTTACTGGCTTCTAGCAGTCAGTCCTGATCATCTGTCTGTCCTTGCAGATTATTTTCTGGAAGATTGTATTCAAATGACTCAGTTTGTCCCTCCACCCAAGGAAAAGAAGAAGAAAGAGAAGGATGAAGAAAATGGTGAAGATGATGATGTATGTTTGAATTTTAATATGAAAAATTAAACAAGGGCTGTTTTTAGTACTCCAGTGTGAGTGTAATTCATTTAGCACAGTTGAAGTGAAACATCTCTAGCAGCTTTCCTATTTTTAACATATGAGATTGCTGTTAACTTCAGCAGTGGAACTAAATTTTCTTCTTGCCCTTGTAAACTGAAGATTTTCTTTTTCATTGAAGCAAAGGTTCTCATGTTTTGTCAAACTACTTCTCTTTAAAGCTAAAACTGAAATGCTTTTGAAAGTGAAGATTAGTAACCTTGGAAGAAGAACTAGAGAAATATGAGCTTGGTGGTACCTTTTTAGGGTGAAAATTTAGATTCTCTGTCTTCTCTTGCAGTTGATATTTTCAATGCTTGCATACATTGTCAAGGACATAACAGTTTTATTCAACTTTTAATTCTAGGTTTGAAACTTTTGATTGGGCTGCTTAATTGAAATATTTTTTTAAATTACCATTTTTTCTTGAAAGACATCTACCCACATATTTTATTTTCTTATTTGCCAGGCCAGCCAGTCTCTGTAGTTTGAGTAAATTAATTTATGTATTTCCTTTGTGGTATTTTTCTTTCGTAGGCCAACTGCAACCTTATTTGCAGCGATGAATATGGCCCAGAAACAAAGCACTCCATGGCTCAGCTGAATGAGAGAGAAACCTCTTTTGAACTCATTGAGGCTCTGCTGATTTATATCAGGACTCTGAATGTCCCAGGAGCTGTCCTTGTTTTCTTGCCTGGCTGGAATTTAATCTATACAATGCAGAAGCATCTAGAAATGAGCCCTCGCTTTGGTACAAGCAGCTGTTTTATTATATTTCATCTTTTCCCAAGGAAACTACTGACTGTGTGAAGATGGAAGTTGGATGAGTGGCTGAGGGAGCTAATTTGTTGTGAGACTGAATGGCTAGAAATTTTCATGTTGTGGAAAGAAGAAATGAGATTCACATAGTAGTAGTTACCAACCTTTTTGTGTTCCTGTTGTAGGAGGCCACCAGTACAGAATTTTACCTCTGCATTCCCAGGTTCCTCTGGAGGAGCAGCGTCGAGTGTTTGATCCTGTGCCTCCTGGGGTGACCAAAGTACGGAGCCTTCTCTGTGTGCAGTTCTCTTGGGCTTTTTGGAATGTATTGCTGACTTCTTTAATAAATTCTGTAGTTTATCTTGCTGGGCACTATCAGCTTTTTCAAACCAAATAACGTCACTTTACATTTCTTGTTTTTTATAGGTTATTTTATCTACCAGTATTGCTGAGACCAGCATTACCATCAATGACGTGGTCTTTGTTATCGACTCTTGCAAGTGAGTTCATGAAGCTGCTTTTTGTTTCATAAACCCTACCCTTGGGAATGCAAAAGAGGTTTTGGGAGCACACAGAAGTGCCTTGTGTTCCCATGCTCCCTGAGCTGAGTTTGAGGACTCTAACTCCTTCAGGACAAATCAGCATTGTCTTTAGCTGGTCAGCATAGTGACACACCATGCTGGCATCTTAGGGGACTGGGTTGGTCACGCTGGCACTATTCATATGAGGTGTCACTGGGTCTCCACACCAATTTGGTAGACGTCATCTGCCAAAGGAGTTTTACAAACTCTTCAGTGTCTGGCTGATGATAAAGAGGAAGGTTTTTGTAGTCTGTTACAGTTCCTGCCTTGCTGTGCATGTTCTCTGAGAAAATTACACACAGAGAGCTCATGAATTCATGGGAATTTTTCATTTTTTGAACAGTTGTGAGGACATTATTCTGTGCAATAGTTTGGGGCACTGCTTTAGAAAGAGTGTGATGCTTTAATTTCCAGACTGATGCCTGACTAACACAAAGCAGGGGTGGTTGGCTTCTTAAAATCAGTGTGACTGCAAGCTATAAAATAGGAACTGATTTGGCAGGGCTTAAAATGAAGGACATTTGATCTTTAGTGGTGTTTTTCCTGTAACAGGCAAAAAGTGAAGCTGTTCACTGCACACAACAACATGACAAACTATGCCACGGTCTGGGCATCAAAAACCAATCTGGAGCAGCGGAAAGGCAGAGCTGGGCGCGTGCGAGCCGGCTTCTGTTTCCATTTGTGCAGCAGAGCTCGCTTTGAGAGGTGAGGCTGTGATCTCCAAAAATACCCCCAGGGAATTCTCCCAGAACTGTTGGGTGCTGCTTTGGGTCAAACTGGGGGAAATCATTGCAGAAAGTGCAAAGAGAAGATGGATGATGTTGGCTCACACTGAAATATCTGTTCTTTGGCTCAAAAAAAAAAAGTACGTATCTTGTGCTTTTACCCATAGTATGAAGTGGATTCAAGAAGAGAGCAATACTGCTTGGGAATTGAGGCAAGGAAAAGAGTTTTGTAATGAGGACAAGGCTCTACTCTGTCTTCAAACACTGGGGGCACCTGGCATTGCCATGTAACAGGCCATTTTGTCATGAAAGTGATAAAAAGCAGGGATGGCAGATGTTAGTTTTCTCTCTATCCCCATTCCATGGCTAGGAAGCCCCTTCATGGTGCTCTAGCACTTTCCCTGCTGCTGAGACTTTTGACCTCTTTGTCAGACTGTTTTTCCATTACTGGAGCCATGGAAATCTCTTTGCTGGCTGCAGAAGGCAACACAGCTGTTAGTTACATTCTTATCTCTCTCCTGGAAGTTTCGGTGCCCCTTTCTCCGGCTGTTACAGCATAGCTGCGTTTTGATGTTCAACTTTTTATAAACTCTGGAAGGCCTCAGTAGATCAAAAACTCTCATTGAATTTCTCAAATTTATTTAGATCTGTTGTTGAGCACAGTGCAATGATCTTAATAATTTTTGACAGTGAACTGATTTTAGGCTGCTGAAGTAATCATGGTTTTAAGATTGCCTTCCTTCAGAGAATATAAATCTAAAATATACAAGTTCCTTAGTGCTTAAGAAAGAGTGTGTGGAGTTGTACAGATAGTTTTTTGAGAGAAATACCCTGATTCGGCTGGCACCAAATGTACATTATCTGTTCAAGGTGTTTTGAAACCTTTTCTAGCTGCACTAGAAAAGTGCTTTTATGTAGAGCAGGCTGAAAGCAGGTTGTCTCTCAGGAGTATAAGAGCTTCCTTATCAGAGCAGGAGAGGATTGTAAAGGACAAATGTGGGGCTGGGGACAGCCATGCTACTAACTGTGCTCCAGCCCTGCAGGCTCTCTGTGGTCAGCTCATGCTTGAACCCCCAGTGGGCAGTGGAGATGTGAGGACTATTCCCCCTGCATTCCCAGTGTAAATTTACCCCAAAGGACAATGGAGAAATAGAGAATTTAGTGATAGAGCCCAAATTCCAGGAGCACAAAGAGAGCCGATAGGTGGGCTCAGAGATGGAGGGCAGTGGTTTCTGCTGGTGGAATGACCCCTCGTGGTGATCAAAGCCTGTGTTCAGAGAAATGGGACTTTGTTCTCATTCCAGGCTTCAGACTCACATGACGCCCGAAATGTTTCGAACGCCACTTCACGAAATTGCTTTGAGCATCAAGCTGCTGCGCCTGGGAGGGATCGGGCAGTTTCTGGCCAAAGCCATCGAGCCGCCCCCTCTGGACGCGGTGATCGAAGCAGAGCGCACGCTGAGAGGTACCCTCATGTGCCCACGGGGCTGTGTAGTGCTCCTGGGCTAGTGGACTGGCTCCAGGTGGTCTTCCATGTATGTGATCTTTACCACCACTGGGTGCATATTCTGGCTGACACAGCAACCTGGAGGCATCATGTGGGTGGCAGTGGCTTGTGCAGCTGAAGAAATACTTGAACTCCCAGTGGAGTGTCATTCCTTTAAGAAACTTGAGCCTTCAAACTTGAGGCTTGTTTTGTTGTTTTACCAGTAAGTTATGTTAGCTTCCAGCTTCCTGTTTTCCAGCTGTGGCACTGCTGTGTTTGACTTAGACTCAGTCCAGTGCTTGAGGCATTCACAAAGCTTCTATAAAAGTACTGAAAAACAGAGGTTGGTCCTTTATTAAATAATTACCGCTTTGTATAGTTTGCTGACCCAGTATCTCAGATTCTGTCAAGAAATTAAGTCTCCAGTTTATGAATCTGCATGAAAAACAAAAAAACTGATGTGTGGGTTAGGTTGTCTCCCCACTCTCTTCAAGGAGCTAACTAGACTATGAATAAAATGGAGCAGGGAAGAACTCTAAATTTGTGCTTTAGATGTAAAACATGAAACTGACCTCAAACCTCAGCACACTTCGTAAATGTCACTAAATAAGCACTTCCTACAATTTTTAACAACGGAAATATCTATTTCATTGTTGATTTTATGGAAGAATTGTGTGCTGAGACTATGTTGCTTGTATATAGGAGGGACACCAGAATGAAGTGCATTGCTAGGGATATGTAGTCAGGTTTAATGACTTTCTGTTCTGAAAATGATTAGTACTTTCCATGCTGTGCAGCTGAGAATTACAGAACCAGGATAAAAGGCAATTTTTTTCAGTTCTAACACCAGATAGCTGTAACTGCAGGTGCCTCCCTTTCCTGGATGACCTGTGATTTTTCAGTGCAGGTATGCTGCTAGTATGTTCTTAGGGAGGTGAAACGTGTTATTCTTCAAAGTATTCTTTAGGCTTTTGGGTTCAATAGATACCAAGAAAAAATGATTTTATGGTGGTCAAGAAATTCTTTATGCATTTCCTTTCCCATTTAATTGCTGAGGCTACAAAGCTTCTTTATTTTATGTGAAAAAGCCTGTGGTAGCTTTGAGGATGAATACAGATGATATTTTTTAGGTAATAGGAGGAGGGAAAGGCAGGTAAAGCCTCAAGGAAGAGAGTTTATGGTGTTCTCTTTTTGATGAAGAAAGTTCTGTGATTTGGCAATGGCAATGAAGACTCCACAGCTGGTTGTGACAGAAATTAGGTTAGATTAATTAGATAATAGATGGTTTAATAGTGTAATAGGGGTTTGTACAGAAGCAAACTGAAAAGGGATGGGAAACTATGTATGTGAATTACATTGTGATTATTCTAACTGCAGAGGAGGTAGTAAAAATTCTGTAAAGCTCAAGTAAAACTTGTCTGACCTCAAACCAGTTTTGAAAATCAGTTTGGCAACAGTGTAATCAACATTAAACTTAAATATGCGTGGGGTTCAGTTTAAGCACAACTATTAAGTACGAACATTAAAAGTGTGCATTTCTTATCTGAAGATTTCTGGGGTTACCTAGCTGTCTTTGATAACAAGGGGTCTTGTTTCAGAGCTTGATGCCCTGGATTCCAATGATGAGTTGACACCTCTTGGAAGAATTCTGGCCAAACTTCCCATTGAACCTCGTCTGGGCAAGATGATGATCATGGGCTGTATTTTTTAGTAAGTTGAGTGGTCTCAGTGGTCATGTTCTTATTTCTCTGAGTTCCTGAGCCTCTTGCAAGAGAGAAAAACCAGTATATCTAGATGAGCAATAAATGCTGCAGCTGGGGAGAGGTGACTGAATCTTTATGGGAGCAGAGAGGGAATAACTTCCAGTGCAGGCTATAAAGTGGTCATGAAATTCAGTTAAAGGCAAGATACCAGTGGAGGCTGAGTATTTCTGAATTAAGAGTGGGACTTGAAACACCTAGGTATAACAGTGAACTAGATGTGGGGAGATATGGAATTTAACAATGAGATAAGGAGAAAAATCAGTCTCCACATTTTGCTTTAGTAGAAGATCTGTTCTTTGTCACTGTGATGGCTGTAGGGTCCTGCGATTACTGCAGGGACCTTTCACCAGAAGAAGGTGTATGGGTGGAGGAAGGGCAGATAGAGCTGATTTAACATTCAGTTCCAATGAAGTGTTTCAGTGAAGATCTCTAGCAGGTAAAGACCAAATTCCTAAGGTCTCTAGCAGTTTTCCCTGGTATCTGCAGCCTGCAGCAGGTGCTGGCAGCACTAACTCTGAATGATCCTGATCCCGTCTGTGGTTCCTTTCAGTGTGGGAGATGCTGTATGTACCATCTCTGCAGCTACCTGTTTCCCTGAACCTTTCATCAATGAGGGCAAACGCCTGGGTTATGTCCACAGGAATTTTGCTGGGACCAGGTATTCAGATCACGTGGCTTTGCTCTCTGTCTTCCAAGCCTGGGATGATGCAAGGTATGTTGTCTGGCACAGCAGGTGATGGGAGGTTACAGGTGGAGAACACAGGGTGAGCTTTTCCTTGCTTTGGTCAGGCTTCTAATTCACTCTGTTTGACTTTCAGAATGGGTGGTGAAGAAGCAGAGAAAAGGTTTTGTGAACACAAAAGACTCAGCATGGCTACTCTTAGAATGACTTGGGAAGCAAAAGTCCAGCTAAAAGACATACTTATTAGTTCTGGCTTTCCTGAAGGTGATTCTAATTAAATTCAATAGTTTAGTGATTGCATTTTTCATTCTGAGATGAAAAATAAATAACCAGGATAATCTCTGTTGAGCACCCAAGCACAGGGGGAGTATAGTGGATTTGCCATAACACTGCTCCACTTTTACAGCTGTGTTCAGGTGGGATTTTAGTGTTCTCTCCTAAAGTTGTGATGGCTGTGGTGCAGCATGGAGATTTTGGAGGTTGAGGTTAGAGCTGCAGGATTAAAAATCTATTTAACAGGTGTCCTTAGAGTGTTAGCTCCCTGACTTTCTCCGTCACTTGTTCTCCAAAATGTGCTGTGCTTTCCCCCGTCTTTCCACAGACCTTAATGGGGAGTCTGTGATCTGAACAGTGTCCTGTTCTGTGACTTCCTGGGGCTGTGCAGGAGGGATGTGCAGCAGTATGCCAAATTATTCCATTTTCTAGAGAAAAAATTCTTTAACTTGACCAAGTTCTGAATTTGCCTAATGTTGCTGAGGAGCTCAGTGAAATAGCATGACTGCCTGAATTCAGCAGATGTTTATCTCTCTTCCTTTTCATTTTTTTTCTCTTTAAATTCCTTTAATTTTTTTCTTCTCAGGCTGTTAGGATCACTGCTGTATTTATCCGTAACTATTTTCTAGGCAAGATGACTTGAAAACAAGCCACCAGAGACTCTGGGGAAGATTTTGTAACAAATGAACTAAGAAAAATATCCATTTAACCTCCCCCAAAGATCTGTCTCCAAAACAAATGCAGTAAACACATTGTGGTACAGCACATTCTGGACAAACCCATGTCTCCTTGTTTTTGAAGAGTTTGGCAGAGAAAAATACCTCTTTGTAGTAGTATTTTCCAGCTTTTCTTTCTCCATTAAGAAATAAAAAATTGAATATAGAATATATATATGCTCTGAGCACAACCGTCATTGGAGATCACATCCAGCAGCTGATTAAATCAGAAAAGGCATTAACCCAGGATCCTAAACAGCTCTGAATTGATCCAGGATCTTAAATAGCTGTTGTGCTCTCCTACATGTCCGATGGATTTGAGCCACTCTTCTGTTCTCTGCCAACAGAATGTTTGATGACTCAACCGTTTAACAACACTGGCCCTGATAACAACCTGGATGTTGTAATCTCCCTGCTGGCTTTTGGGGTCTACCCCAATGTCTGCTACCACAAGGAGAAGAGGAAGATTCTTACCACTGAGGGGCACAATGCTCTCATCCACAAATCATCTGTCAACTGCCCTTTCAGCAGCCAGGACATCAAGTATCCATCACCCTTTTTCGTTTTTGGAGAGAAGGTAGAGACTTTGGGTTTAATCTTGATAATGTGCTGCCAAGTAGTTCAAGAGGCTCTTTTTGTTAAAGAAGTCATAAGAAAAAAACCTGACTGCAATATCTAATTAGTTTTAGTTGGTGCAGGAGGATGGGGGTGTTGTTTGTTGGTTGGTTTTCTTTCTAGAAAGTAAATGTTATATGGTCCTGGTGTCACTCAGCCTCCTAGTAACTTCCAGTCAGCCATTTTCAGCAGAAGTTCCCTTGAGTTTTGTTACAACAGCCAGATTGTAGAGAAAGATCTAACTCATTATCTTCATTAGGTGTTTGTTTTAGGAGCTCTTCCATGCTAATTAGGCATCAGAGAACTTTTATCCTTATCACTTCTGCTGCTTATGAATTCAGGGAGAAAAAAGCAACATGGAATGTAGCAGTGGGGTGCTCCTGTACTGGCCTGTGTCATCTCCTGAGGATAATTTGCATTTCCCAAGCATCACCCAAAAGGTCTCCATGACCTTTTCCTCAATTCTTTGAATTTGATGTACATTCTGTGCATGTCCATTGCACCCTCTGTGAGCTCTCCTGTGCTCCAGTGACAGCCATTGTGAACTCAGCTACTTCTACTCAAGGAGCAAAGGAAGACAATGCTTTTGTGTTTGCTGATAACTGGAATTTTCAATCCTTTGAGTACAGGGATTTTTTCTTGACAGTCTGGATTCCCAAGCCGTAGTTCAGAGCTGTGGTGAGGCTTTGCTGCTTCTTCACCCTTTGTTGTCAGGATCCCAGGAGGGTTAGACCATCCTGACCATCTCTCTCAACTGAGATTCCCCTAAACGCAGCAAAGGACTTTTGAGCTCAAAAAATTTTACTTTATTAAATGAAAGTACACACAAATGGAGAGTGACTAAGATGGTGGCTTAAGAGTAGCTTAGACAGCACCTGGGTGAAGCTGGAATGCTGGAAGGGTTTGTGGGCAGATCTTTTCCTGCCCACTAGGTACCTCTTCTGTTCCTCTTTAAACTGAGGGGCAGGAGCCATGCAGCAGGGCTGTTATCTCTGGCTTGATGTTCTCAGTTCAAGCTTTCAAGCTCAACGTCAGTGTAACATGACACAGCAGTGACTGCTTGGACATCTGGCAACTTCCACATTTGCATGAGTAGGAGCCCACTAAAGCTTTTCATCACAGCCTCAGTAATTGAAGGGTGGGAAGAAAATTCAGATGTGTCCTGGTCATTTTAAGGCTGGCAAAGTATGAGCTGGCTCTTGCAAGAGCTACATAACTGCAGACACTAAAAATGACTATTTTAAAATTGAAGATAGATTTTGTTGAGGTTTCACACCAGCTAGTGCTGAATCCCTGTAAACCTGTGCCTGGCATTCAATTTCGTATGTGCACATGCTCTTGTAATTTCCTAACGTTATACCTAGCTTTAGTATGTGTTGTTTGAGGTTTTTTAAAACAAAATTCTCCAGTTTCAGTGTCCAGGAGAAGGTGCAGAGCTCTATTTTCCATTTCAAGAGTAATTTTCCTCTTTAACTTGCAGATTAGAACACGAGCCATCTCTGCCAAAACCATGACCTTGGTGAGCCCACTGCAGCTGCTCCTCTTTGCTTCCAAGAAAGTCCTGTCAGATGGAGAGCTCATTCTGGTGGATGACTGGTATGGATCTACTTGTGCTTAGAATTGTGGAATCGTGGAGTGGTTTGGATTGGAAAGGACAAAGCTCATCCAATTCCAACCCCTTGACAGAGGGGAAGGGCAGCTAATGCAGACCAAATGTCTGTAGAACAGGGATCCCAGAGCAAGCCATGCACCACAGGTGTGTTGGGAAGGCATGACCTTTCCTTCCTGTGAGGAAGGGACAGGTTAATTTGAGCCCTGTTTCATGCAGATTATCTGCTTAAACTGAAAACAGTACAAAGCAGTTTCCATAAAAACTGCTGTTTTTTCCTCTTTAACTGAAAGGTGAAAGGCACTTTGTGTTTTCAACCTCTTCCTCAGGCAAAGACTGAGGAAACCTTGTTTTCAAGGCACAGAAACACAGCTTGAGGAGAGAAATGTCTCTGGCCATGTAAATTTTATGGCCATTACCAAATAACATCTGGATGGTTGTTTTGTTTGTTTTGCTTTTACCCCCTAGTCAGTAAAAGAGAGGCAAAGAATTCCTTAAGCTTAATTTGCTAAAAATTTGAGTGTTGGAGCTTTCAAAATCTTGGAGCCTCATGTTTTCACTTTATTTTTTTGTATCTTGCTGTTTTGATGCAAGAGATTACATGTTGAATTTATCCCAGTATAGAATGATAGAAACCCAAAACAGAATGTTTTGGGTTGAAAAGTATTTTAAAGCTCATCTCAAGTCCAAACCCTGTTCAGCCTAGTCTTGGACACTCCTAGGGATGGGGCAGCCACAGCTTCTCTGGGGAACCTGTGCTAGGGCCCTCATCACCCTTACAAGGAAGAATTTCTTCCCAATATCCCATCTAACCCTGCTCTCCATCAGTTTAAAAGAATTCCCCCTTGTCCTATCACTATCTGCCTGTATGTCCTTTTGAAAGCCCTCTTCAGGCACTGGAAGGGGCTCTAAGGCCTCCCTTGGAGCCTTCTCCAGGCTGAACACCCCCAGCTCACCCAGAGCAGAGGAGTTTCAGCCCTCAGAGCATCTTCATAGCCACCAGAAGAACAGTTATGTTTTAACACTGCCAAGTCTTGGGGATCTTTCAAATTTGCCTCCTGCATTTCTCACAAGTGACAAATGAGAACTTCAGAAATGAGACTGTAGATTTCCAGCTCAATGAAAGCCGCTCTGCAGAACCTCTTGCTCCCCAGCTGCTGCCCTGGAAGCATGGCAGCTCTAACAAACTCTTTGTGCTGCAGGATCAAGCTGAAGATGCCGCACGCGGCGGCCGCCTGCATCACCGCTCTGCGCGCTGCCATGGAGGCGCTGGTGGTGGATGTCAGCAAGGAGCCCGGCATGGTGCGGCAGCTGGAGCCGGCGCAGGAGCGCATGCTGACCGTCATCCGGCAGCTGTCCCGGCCAGCCGCGGCGGGCATGGCGCTCTCGGCTGCCAGCGCCAGGTGAGAGCCCCGCTCAGAGCTGAGGGTGGGACCTCAGGCTTTGCTTTCAGGGCTGTGCTCTGAGCATGTGTGAAATGCTTGCACTCAAAGCTTACGCAGAGAGTCACTGCCTGTTTGCACAAGGACTACAGCTCTCGGGAATAACAACTGTCATCCCCTCTTCCAAAACAAAAATTACCTTCTAAAGAAAACATAATCTATATTTATTCTGGGCAAACCTTTTCCTGGAAAGAAAAACAAGTAATTGGCTGGGCTTGCACCCCTCTGTTGCCCCTTGTTTCCATCCCTTGCTTCTGAAGCAAAGGAAACTTTTCTGAAGTGGAAAAGGTGCAAAAATGCAACTGTAGTTCAACCATTGTATTGTGTTCACAAAAAATGGAGGTGGCTTAGCTGAGGATTGTGCTATTTCCCATCTTTTAGAATGCAGTTTGTGAGATTGCCTCAAGTGTATGGTGTTGTTCTTGGCCAGGTTCGGGGATGGCCCCCGCCCGCCCAAGATGGCTCGCTACGACAACGGCGCTGGCCTTCGAGGCTGGGGAGGTTACGCGCACGGCTCCGGCCGCAGGGGCAGAGGCTACGGTGGCTACCCCAGCTGGAACTCGGCAGGAAGAGGATACCCAGGTAGTCCTGGGGGAGGCTACGGAGCTGGGGGTGGCTGCCGAGGAGGAGGAGGATACCGAGGAGCAGGCAGGGGCTACCGAGGAGGCTATCAGGACATGGGCAGGGGTGGGTGGTAGTGATAGCAGGTCAGTGGAGTCTTTCCACTTCAACAAAAGTGCATTTCCTTCCCAAGTTCCTTTCTTCCTCTTCCCAGTTTGTATGCTTTTTTGGTTCCTTAGTACAAGTACAGCTCTGTAATATATAATTTTCTTGGGGAATTCCCTGCAAGTTGTATGATTTATTTTTAATAAAGAGTTTGTTTCTGAAGACTTGCATGCTATACCTTTGACTTGTGTTTGGATTTGAATTTCGAAGGCTTCTGTTGCTAATTGTGATTATTGGAGACTCAAGGCATTCTGAGGAAACCTTTTCAGTGTGTAAGACTATTTCCTGCCAAACAGATTCCAAAACACAGGTTCAGTGGGGATTTTACTTCGTTGCCTAACAAGCTGTGCAAAGAGTCTTTGCTGCAGTGGTTTTCTAACCATGCCAGGCAGCACTAGGTTCCTTTGCAGCCAGCCTCCTGCATGCCATGTGACCCTCCGTGGTGATCCAGATTGTTTGGGTGATCCAGATCATGCAGGAACATGGAATACATTTTGCAAGACTGATGTGATGCTGCTGGTCTCTGCAGAACCTGGAGTAATGTCAGAAGTATGAATTGCTCACTTCATCCAAGACAGTGTTCATTACTATTTCCAAACAGGCTTAATTCCTCCACATCCATGTGGAAGAGACCAGTTCTTTAATGGGAACACACTGGATTCCAGAGACTGGAAGCCCAGCTGGCTGCCTGATGCTCACAGAATTGTATTGACACAGAGGGGGTAGAAAGCCTTCCAGCTCTGTTCTGTTGCCAAGTCTGACAAAATTAACCTCCCCACTAATGCCACTGCAGAAATAGTAATTATTTGTGCCTGCTGGGTTGTGGGAGATGGTGGTGGTTGTAAAGCAAATCCAACATTTTTTATGTTCTCATGAAGAGTTCTTAAAAACTAGGTAAGGCTGAAGCACTGCTTCTTTAATCCAACTCTGAATTATAGAGGATAGATATTAATCTCCAATTTTAATTTACTGTGGAGCGTGTATTATCTCCTGCATGCTCTGCTGCAGTAAACCCTACACTTCCTTCTGCTGATGCCGACTTTTCTGTAGGTTGAAGAATGAATGAATGAAGAATTGTCACTCCATGCCACTGTTACAAAAACATAATTATTTTTCTTTTCCAGTTTGGGCCCAGGAACAACCTATGGGGGAGTCAGCAGGCATGGACATTGGAAGATGTGCTATAGCATTAGCCACCTTCCCTTTGCACATCTGTAGTCACTGCAGCCAGATAAAAACTGCTTTCCTTGGCTTGCCCTTCACACATGGTGTTCTCAGTCATGTTACTAGCACCAAACTGGAAGCATGAAGTCCAGTGGTTTTAACTCTACTTAATTTTAGTATCACACTCACAAGTCTGGACTATGATCTAGTATCTGTTAAAGCTTTCTAATTTTTTCTGGCTATTACTGGTCAGCATTTAGACAGGAGGCAGGAGATGGGTGCAAGGTGAAGAAGTAGAATAGGACACCAAGGATTATCAAGTATATGTACAATATTCTACGAGACTAGCAAAAAATGTTTTTACCAGGGTCTTTGATGTTAAGTCTTAGATAAAGGAGTGAAGTTGATCTTTCTTCAGTCTATTTACAGAATTGTTCTAATTTGTAACTGTAAAGCTATTAGTTACTATTACTGGGAAGAAAAGATTAAATCATGTTACCATTAATACCCTATGGGTTGTCCTGGCAGGTCTTGCTGATTCTGGTACTGATGCAGTGATGAATTTTGTAGCTCCCCAAGACATCTGTGTGTCTTGGGTACAGCTCACCACCACAGCCCTGTTTATTCACATAAAGATCTAATTTGTGTGATCCCTGGGGTGTCCTGTGCAAGACCAGGAAGTTGGCTCAGTGATCCTTGTGGGTTCCTTCCAGCTCAGGATACTCTATGATTCTAATTTCACATTGCTTTCAAGAACTGACAAAAAAAGTTAATGATTTCTTAAGGGAACAGCCAGGTGTTGAAAAAAGTGAAAGTGTGTCTGGGAGCTCAGCTGCAGGTTGTGAAGGGAGAATGAGCCATGGACTTTTTAGGATCTACAAATGATAACTTATGGTTTTATTTATGTGCTTAGTGCTTTACATATTAAGAAGTGTTGAACATGAAAGCACTGCTTAACAACATTCAGTCTGGTTTTTAATATCTAATCCATCATGACCAGTTAAGTGAGGAAGCAATAATCCATGCCTGCACTTGGTGAATGGCACAGTCTAAACAAGGATTGACATGCTAATGAGGAGCTTAAGCAGCCAGGATACAGAAAACAGAAAGTTAACCTGAAATGACATGTACATTTTCCCAGTAAAGACTGAGCCAGCAGTGAGTTTACTTGTCAGTGCATGGATCTGTGCTTTGCTTCAGAAAGCCAGATGAGTGTCAGACCACTCATGGGTTTTGTGCAGCATACTGAATTACTGAAATTCAAGAAGAACTGCCTGAGCCACGGTGCCATCAACTGCTCTCTGCTGCACCCATGTGAGCCTCCTTGGGTTTGTACATCACATATATCAAATATTTTTGGCTTTTGATATCACAGAGTTTTCATAAGGGGATTTGGAAACAATGATATCTTCTGGTTTTCCAGTTCCAAGTAGAAAAGGAGAAAAGTAATATTAACAATAGCCTCAAAACCATAATATGAAGGATAACACTTGACAGTTACTTGAAGTTTTATCTTGAAAATTAGGATTTCAACTGACTAACTGGTCTGTTTTTTCTGCCTCCAAAAGAGTGAGGAGTGCCAGCCAAAGGAAGCTAATGTCATGGGTACTTCACCAAGGTGAGTGGCTTAGCATAAAAGATCATGAGGATTTATTTATGTCTGAAAGCCATATGTTTGGAATGACCCCTCTAAATCTGGAACTGGTCTGCTCACCTGCAGCTTTGATGGGAAGAGTTCTGGAAATGGCTGCCTGGAAGCAGCTTGTCAGTTCAAACATTGTCTGTTATAAACAGATTATTTCTTATATAATCTATGATTCTAATTTAATGTTGCTTTCAAGAACTGGTAAAGTTAATGTTCATATTAATTGATGTTAATGTTAGTATCTGTTATTTGAAACATATTTGTCACTGAATTCCTGTTCTCTGTATTCCAGCAGCAGTATTTTTTGCCTAGACAGTAGCTAACAAACTCTTCTCTGCTGTTTATTTTCTCACTGAAAGTTTTTACTTCCATTAAAAGCCCTGGGGAACTTAATGGTTCTCTATCATTTGCTGAGAACCATTAATCAGGACTGTGTTGAGCTATGGTTCATAAAGGTAAATTAGAAGAGAACATGATACCAAGACCCAATAATAATGTGTTTAGTTAACAGGGATAAGTTTACAGCCTCACAGTCCCCTGGGAAAATGACCTCATGGTCTCCACTGTACCACTTACTAAAGCCACATTCATGACCTCAATGCATATTATGTTGCAGAAATGGAGGGTCTGTAGGAAAATCTTTCACCTCACAGAGTTGAGGTGAAAGGTCGCCACTTCCTACATTTGAGCAACTAAAAAAAAAAAAAAAAAAAAAAAAAAAAAAAGCGGCAAAGTTTCCAATTTAAGAGCAATCTATAAATCTGCCCCACCCTGTTTCCTGCAGTTAGTTCCTTTTGCAAAGAAGTTTTAGATACCAGGACTGTATTATAGAATTCTAAGTTTTCCTCCTGCCATCTGCAAAGAGATGTTCAGAAAGACTATACTGGAAAATACATTGAGAACTTTTTTACCCCATAACTACTGGTTTCATGCACATTTCAACTCCTAACCTATAGTCAGTGCCTCATGTGCATTTCCTCACTTTTCCTCTTACTTCCTACTAAAGGAATTAATAGCCATCTGGATGTTTTGGGAGAAAGGGGAGTAACAGTTGTCCCATCTGCATCAGGGCATTTTCTGAAGAAGGCAAGTGCAGAAAATCTCCATTAAGGTGAGCAGAAAGAATAATAATATCAATATATAAAGTCATGTGGCTCTGTTGCTATAATGATGGCCCAAAATCCCTACCTATGGATGGAGAATAGAAAGTCAGAGGTCTGGTCATAAATCATAGAATCACAGAGTGTTTTAGGTTGGAAGTAATCTTAAAGATCATTCCATTCCATCCTCCTGCCTTGGGCATGGATGCCTTCCATGATCAGGAGAACACAGCTAGTTGCACACAAAATAAGAAAAACTCTCTTAAAGAGAAGAATTAGAGATCCAATCACATTATTAGCTGTTCCAAGGCACCTCCCAAATACATCCCTGCAGAGATAAAGCTGAAGGAAGTGAGGACCTGTAAACTCTCTGCAAAGACCACTGTGGAAGCAGAAGGAAAGGTCTACTAAACTCGTAATACAAAAATTAAGCACAGCAACGGAAACTGCCAGGTTTTGCTCATAGGAGAAGCCAAATGAGAAATTTTCTAGTACATCCCTGAATGTGGGACAGCTTTAGACTTTTAGATATTTATGATCTCCTGGACTGCCCCCATGCTTATAAACAAAGAAACCCAAAAGCCCTGGGGCTTGCATGGATTTCTGCAGGAAAGGCAGAATGTATATTTTCAGACCAAAGTTTTCAAGTGTTACAAGTTTTGAGACCCATCTCAAACAGAATAACCAGTCTCCCACTGGACAGAACAGCCCCAAATTTATGAACTAAATTTTGCTAATTCTCTCATTTGTAATGGGAACCTCACAAAGCCAGGAGAGAGCTTTGAATCACTGACTCTCATGCAAACAACTCACACATCCAAGCTGCTTGGATCACTGGGAGAGCAGATGAGCAGTAGTGCAGGTGTTTACTCCGTGACCTTTTACAGCTGCCATAAAATAGTTCATCCCCCCTCCCTTAGTCTAGTGCAGACATTTGCTTTGGCTAGTGGAGCTGGCAGGCTGTTCACTGGAAGCTCAGCAATGCTTCAGGAATGGAATTTGGCTTTGCTCATCCTTTGGGTGTGGCAGCAGTCTGCCACAAGAGGAGAAAGAAGAGGGAGTAGAAAACACCACCCTTGTGTCTACAGAGACCAGTTCTGTGCAGTCGTGTGGGAGAGATGCTCTTGTATGAGCCCAGCAGAAGCGCAGCGGCCCTGCTGTGCTGGTAAAGATGAGCAAGGGAAATGAAGAAAAGAGGAGCTAAGCCATGCTGACCAAAAAGAACAGACCTAAAATAGACAGCAGTGGGTCAGCATCTTCATCCT